CTTCGTGTGTATTTGTAAATTGTGCATCTAGCAAGATCAACCTTCTTGTAAACTTCCTTCATACGTCTATCGATCTCCGCGGGTTCTTGGTCAGTTGAAAAAAGAATTTGTTTGCAGCAAGAAAACAGTTGAGTGTGTTTATCAGCATGTATTTTGAAGAGCTTTTCATACTCTGTCAAACAGTGCCACGCGAGTCCATTTTCGTCTCCTCTTTCCCGAGTTATGATCTCTACAAGTCATCGCTATCATTTTGTTCGAGGACTTATGACTCAAGCTAATAGAATGGATAAAAGACAGCCACTAACCGATATGCTGATGACGGCATGATTTTTAGTAAGTGTGTCAAGGCCGAGAATGACGTCGGTATCTTGTACGTCAGAAGCGAACACATCAAATGAACACAATATATCCATTCCTTCTATTCGTACAGTAGCTATAGAAAAATATTTCTGAGAAAATTTCCATATACAGGGAATACACAGCCGTAACGACTACTCCCTCGCAACCACGCACTAGCCTCCTTACGAAAGCAAATCGACTCAGAATAAACTACTTGCAAGGATTCGACCCAGGGATGCTCGTGTGCCTCCAACTCCACTTGCCGTCACACTGAACCTGTCATCAATAGCATCGACCATGTCACACTTCTTTGCTGCATCCATGGAAATAATCGATGCCTGAGCCCCTGAAATATCAGAAAAGTCGCAAAAGAATAATCACACGTGTAGAAATGGTGGGTAATATTCCATATTCCCAGCTAAGTGTAAAACGAGTTATAAGTAGTTTCTTCTTTAAAAGATTAACCTCTAAAACTGAAAAATAGCTAGCACTCACAAAAAGGCATTATGATACGAATAAGGGCATGTCCTCCCAGTTTATGGGAATGTTGTTGAATCTTCTGGGACGGCGATTAAAGCTTATACTTCACATTAGGAGAAGCTAGAGGGAATTTTCTCGAACGCTCGCTACGCTCTAATTGACAAAACTTCAGTCAAGCCGGATCCAAGGTTGGGGATTGGGTGGGCACTAGACAAGTGATGAATTGGAACTCCAAAGAGTTAGACATTATATAATACTGCCAAACCTGTGTCAACTAATGCAACCACTTCTTTCCCATTCAAGAAGCACCGTAGGTACAACAGTGGAGTTTTTGTGAAACACTCAGGGAATGCGGTAGCCGCTCTCTGTAATCCTCTACACACCTAAGTTGCTTAAACAAAGTTTAAATTAAAGATTATATTCAATGTTCTCAACCGATCCAACATCTGCCACTTCTTCGACAACACGGTGCTGGTCTTCAGCATCTCTTCAGGAGATGTCTTCATGCCTTCACCTATAACTTGATGTTTGCATTGGCTATGAAAACTTCTTGTAATCGCTCTCAAACCCTACGCATGGCAATATTTCCCTCTCGTCTCCACACTTACAACATAAGTCATCATTGCGCCCCACGGACAGGGCTGAGGCTGTAGGGTCAGACAATTTTTCCCTTCTTTTGAGCTTCATAGTAGAGCCATCATTTATACCGCACTCCTCAATACACAGAATCTAGTAAAATGCGACAAATGATAAAATATATCGAGGTACCTCCAGAGTGCCAATGTCGTCAGTTGTGAATTCTTTTTCGTTAGTTAACAAAATGAAGTCGCATGCCGGTTCCGACGTACCCCAGCTTAGAGTGACCAGATGTATAAGGCTACTCAGTTTGAGTTCTTTGTTAACCTGAAAAAAATTCCCTGATAATGACACCTTCCTCTGATTTTCTTAAGGCGATTGTAACTTTCCCATCAAATGCCTGTTGAACGCAGCTCTTCAAAAAGCTCTTAAAACGGGGGGAAAAAGAGAGAACCGATCCCATTATTGGAAGCCTCTCTTGTGTCTTGCGCAGTCCCGATGACTATCGATAGCCTCAAGCGGGCGTTCGTGACGGCTCCATTCGTCCTGTCGCAAGCCAGAGTAGTCCAGTGGATTGTTCTAGCTCGAGGGACGCGAGGCATAGCATTCTTTTCGTTCAGACATTCGTTCGTCAAGAAAACTAACCATCGCATTGGCGGCCATCCTGGTTTCGTTTGACTTCCTTCGTTCTGAGGGATCCAGCACAGTCAGTAACCGCCCTGATCCAGCATCACAGTATCGTATAAAGTTTCCGGTCCGCCCGATCTTCGATTTCCAGGCGTAAACAATCCCTGAACTTCGTTCGTTGGGGGAGTCGGAGCTCCAGATTCTTCTCTGCACTGTGTTCCACGAGAGACCCCGAGTATAGCTATTTCCACAGCGCGTTGAATGAATCTGACCAAATGCTTGTCTATCCAAATCTTTGAGGAGCATGTCAATGCAGGAAGGACTGCAATGTCGAAAATGCCAGCGTGCAGCTGAGTTGTTCGTTGTCTCCTTCACACTCTCCCAATGTTATTGGATGTCCCTACGCCGCACGTTTTTTTCGCTCAGCTCCGAAACTGCGATGCTCATCACGTAACTTTTCGATACAGATACACATGACAAGAGCATCCAGAGATGATCGTTCCGTTTCGTTGTTTCTCATGAAAACTGTTTCCGTCTTTGTTGGTTTCAACCGAACCCGATCTCTCCACAAGTGCTGGCGAATTTAGCCTGTATCGTTTCACCTGCTCAATGTTCGATGTTACAAGCACGATGTCGTCTGAGCGGAAGGTATGTAAGTAGCGGCCGTCGACCTTTACTCCCAGCTCATCCTCTTTCGAACTACGCGTGGGGTTCCTGAGAGTGGCCTCGAAAAATTTTGGCAAGGTAGAACATTTACCTCGATTTCAAATCTGGCTGTGCCGGCATCATTCACTACTTCCAATCGCATACTGATGTTTGATCAGTGACAAAAATGAATACCCAATGCCAATTCTTCCATTCTCTTATCATGTATCACGAACCAAGGTTGTAAAACTGTATCAGTAAATTGTGCTATCTCGGGAGCTATTCATTCCTTTGCATGAGAATTTGAGTGCGGTCAATTCAAAGAGGATGATTTAGGTTTACAGAAATGAAAGTAAAGCTGGGAAGGACTCATATTTGGCCGGCAGCCAGATTTCCAAAACGACGTTGCCTCTAGCATATAGCGATGCAGCTATGTTCGCACTTTTTCCTATCCAAGCAGTGGGGATAAAGAATTTCACTGGCAAAACGAAACCCAACATCTGTGGCTGTATCTTTTCTCAATTTATTACTCACAGAACATAGACATGGACTGGTCCACTTCCATCAGGCTGCAGTTTTCACTAGGCCTATTTCGCAGAATTTCTCGCTATGGTACACATGGTGGGATGGGAAGAAAATAGACAGCCAAGTGAGTTCACCAAGTATGTATATGGCGCACTGGAAGCGGTCTCGGGCAAACCCGTGATGACATGGACTGCATAGGTTTAAAAAGGGTGAACAGCCGTAACCATAAGTCCAACCAGGGACACGTCCGGGTTTCGGTGTCAGGAAATCCGTAGACTTTCAGAGCTTACACTTTTTTTAGATGACTCCAGCATTATAGGCTACCACTGCAAATAGTAATTCAGCTTGATTAGACGAAATTTAAATAATTCATTCCTTTATAGCGTACGTTTCACAAACACACACAAAGAAAACCCGTTGTGCTACCGTAGTTGTCGCAACTAACAAGGAAATCAACTGACTAAACATAACGGGCCCTCCAACCCCGAATAGATCAGAGAGCGAAATACAACAATATTGAGCGTAAGTAATAAATATCCATGTAAATCCATAGAAAATAACAGAGATTTTTCGGTAAGATCTGAAGGCTTACCTCGTGAATGATATACACGACTGAGAATTTTGAATACAGGGAACGTTCTTCTGTGTTAGCTGATTATGAGGGAAAAAATCGTAAGAGGTCTTCATGGAAGTGAACACAAATCTGTCCGGAATACAGCGAGGCTTACGCCGATTCCAGTTTCGCATATCGCATGCCGTTGCGGTATTCTTCTGGTCCGGTAGTTGGTTGTAGGTCCTGACTCTGCCAGTCAGCCTCGCCGTTCGCCGTTCCACCTCCACCCAGGCCTCGAATCTCTACTTCATGACCAGACACTGAAAAAGGATAATAAGTGTTATCCTGACCATTTACATGATAGCTTCTAAGAAAACCGAAGGCTCGTCATCGAATTGTAGCAGGGAATGTTCCAGCTATTGGGATACCACGCGGCACAACATCTTCGCCATACTTGGCTCCTTGATTGAAGTGCTTGAAGTCAATGAACCTACTGGGTAGCCAACTATGTTTGGCTAGCGGTGCCTCCGGTTTTATGCTGACCCGCTGGATACCGAAAATCGGATCGGTCAGGGTAAGCGATATCACCACACTCTAGACTTTTTAATGGGCTCACTGCAGCTATTCTTAACCACAGAGGTTAAAATATCGCTGACTAGATATCGATCAATGTGCGCCCTCGGTATTAGCACCCACAAATGATGGGTGAGGAACAAAAGCATCTCCAAAATGCAATGTGGATAGATAGCGCCAAAATGAAAAAGTGATCCGATTCAGATCTTTAAGCAAGGAAATTTTAACTGGAAGACAGAAGTTAAACCTCCGATCGCCTCATGCTGTTGGACATACCCTTTCTTGCCTTCGGTGCATGCCTTTAGTGGCGACCTCCAACCCAAGAGCTAGCTGGCTCACTTTTTTCTTTTTAGCGCACCACACATATCGCATGTTCCCTTTGGCCCTTTGGCCACTTTGTATCTAACCTATTGCACTGCTTTAAGTAATGAGAAAAAAATGCATATGTGTATGTGAATGTATAAGAGAATGTTGTTTAATAGATATGCCTTTACCATGTGTGAGAACAACAGAGTTCACGGATCCTCAATTTTTGGGTAATCGAAACGAAAAAACAGCGGCACGCACGCATGCAATAAGCTAATGCAAAATAAAAGATGTGTATAGGAATGTAAGGAAGCCCTACCGTAAGCGGGGTTCTCGAAGGCAACTGTTGGATGTCCTCGTGCAGGTTGTTGCCGTCGAATGAGTTTTCCGAACGGTGCAGGCAGATCTCGTCTTCTTCCAAGATAGATGATTCCTGCAAAAAAGACACTCAGTTCTGGCACGAAAACCCCTGACCAGTAGGTGCTCACCGATAATGACGAATCCGCAGCATAAAAGGAGCAGGAGTATGAAGAAAGCTGACGAACCGCCCGACGAAGATGACTTTGATTTCCCTAAAGGGTTGACTTTAAATCCAACTTTTCAAAACATATAAAGCTGAAAACTTACCAACGCTTGTGGACGGCACGTCTAGGAAAACCAGTGGACTGTGGCCGAATGCGTTCGCAGAGATGATTCCAACGTCATACGCGGTATCAGGCTCGATATTCAGTTCCACGGAACGCGTCGTGAGTTTCTCCATCTGAAGCAACGTCAAGAGTTGGACTGCTCTGATATCTGGCTGTACAGAAAACCGATGTCCGCCTGCACTTACCTTATATTCACCTTCTTCATCTCTCTTCTTGTAGTACACTGCATAGTAGCGGTAAGTGTCACCAGCATCACTGTCATCCCACGTCACCTACAAGAACCAATTTTAAATAAAGCCTAAAATAAGTCGAGCCGTAGTTACTGGGTTGTTACATAGGAACATTGTTTTTAGTGTGGGATTTATCCTATGAGTTCCGAGCTCTCAAATTACATCGTGCATCACTCGGAAGGTATTCAGGTTTACAAACAGCTCCAGGTAATGATATGGTCCGGCTGAACGTTGGATTTGTGAAATGGTAGGTCTAGACTACTCGGAGCCAAACGGGCTGAATCAACCTCTATGTCCCATTGCAAGAAGTCAACCGATCAAATCGATTCGGAACTTTCCCTACTAGGAGGAACAACGAGCCCTCGCTCTTTTTTCATCGAAATTGATTTTCCGCTCGAATAGGAAGCTATTAGGGTCCTTTCAAACAGAACCGTCCTCTTGCGTTCTTTCGCTTGATACCTTTGGTTATTGTTCGAAGGTGTTTTTTTATCATTCAAAAAATCTCTTCGCTATCATTTCAACCGTTATTTAGGTCCTAATTCAAGCCTACGTGATGAGGTTGACAAAAATGGAGACATAGTTTTGAGAATTAGTTTTCTGGCACTAGTTTCTCTAGAACTCGATCAATGTAATCAATACGTCTTCTAACAACATTCTAATGGTGCCAAGGCTTTGCAGACTTCAATCTCTGATTTGATAGTCAATTTAAAAACACAGTAGGGTTTGCTGGAAAACCGAAAAGTTCAAAAAGGTCGAGGCCAAGTTCATGGTACATCACTAGCTGACTTTTTGCCAAGGAATATAGAGTTGCTCGTCGATTTGGGGAAGTTCTACGTTCTCGACTTCCTGCTTTGCAAAAGTGGAACTCAACACAACACTTTTCTCAAATCCTGACAAACAATTTTGGAGTGTAGGTAAATACCTTTCGAATAGTATAAAATTAGATGGCAGCCATAAGATCCCATGGGAAAAAATAGGATTTGAAAAAACTAACGACATTACTTACGTAACAACATAGTACCCTAAAATTCCATAGATAAGAGCGGGTGAAAATACCGGTGAAAAATGAATTGGAAAAAATCGAAATTGAATGCAGTCACCCCTCTAACTTGATGGATGGATGAATTAAACTTCGAAGAAGAAGTTAAGAAGAAGCTCCGCCCCTCAANTTGAGGGGCGGAGCTTCTTCTTAACTTCTTCTTCGAAGTTTAATTCATCCATCCATCAAGTTAGAGGGGTGACTGCATTCAATTTCGATTTTTTCCAATTCATTTTTCACCGGTAGGTTCACCCACTCTTATCTATGGAATTTTAGGGTAAGTGGAAATCACAACAAAAAATCCAATCTGAAAAGATCCCACCTTGAGGACGCCCTTTCTAGTCACTTCGTACTCGACATTCCGCACCGGTTGCGGACTTCCTTCATGACCCCTTACAAAACATTCCATGATCGTGACTGCGAACGGAGTGCAATCTACGTCGGTCGAAAAAGAATCTCCTGCAATTAGTTAACGCCTTCTTTCTTAAATTGCTAGTTACACTTTTGATTTTTCTCAGCCTTAGAAACGCCTTGAACATCAAAGAAATCTTACCGGAACACAGCGGCAGGCATTTACTCGAAACTCCTCTGACAGTACAGCAATCGCTATGATCAACGAAGTCAGTTGCGCATTTCAGTAGACTTGCAGCGTATTGTGAGCAGTTTCCGACGGAAGGAGGTGCCTGAGCCGCATGATTTTTCTGATTATTCGGAAGACGAAAGAATTTTGGAATGCTACCTTTCCTATAGTGCAAGCCTGCAGACAATCGCCTTCGATATGCTCGTCTTCGCAGCACGACAAGATAAGTCTGGGATTGACAGGAAGCAGTTCACGAGAAATGATCAACTGAAAAGGAACCATAATGTTTCATTGTCAATAAAGTTCACAAAGTAATAAAAAAGTCGATAGAAAGCAGAAAATAAGCAGAAAGCAAAGGGTTAACAACCTCGGCGGTATCGACAGAATGGCTGCCATCTTTTTCGGCAATACACGAATAAACGCCAGCTTTATCCTTGGCATTTCGCAGCTGAAACAGAGATTAGAAGAGGCGGTGCGTATCCAACTTAAAGTGACTGCTCACATGCAACGTCGCTCTGTAGGTATTCATGGCCACAACTTTCACCCTCGTCTCTCCTTCAGCTGCCTTGCCATCGATTTCAAAACGAATCGCTGGTGACGGGAAACCCTTAATCAGTCGCCTTCATCGATGACTAGTTCATGAAACCACTCGTCAAACCGTACCTTGACCGTGCAGCTGAGATCGGCCGATTGATCGTCGAACGCACGCACCTTCTCCTTGTCCATCTTGGCAACCGGGCCAACTGAAGTCGTGGAAATATAATAGAAAGCGTGGTAAAAAAATCTCAAGATAGATGGAAATACTCACACTTCACAAGCAAGTGTCTCATAGCAACGTTTTGACGACCGTCGGTATCCGTAACGGCACAAGTGACCGTGTCGATTGAAGAATCTGCTTCGACTTCTTCGGCCACCCACGAAACTCCGTGGTCGTTGCTTGCCTACAATCGGTTTTTGTAACTGACTTAACAAAACATTTCGCTGATTGTGAATGGAGCATGAATCCACTACACCAGCATCATTTCAATTCCTACATTCAATAATGTTCTATTTAGTGAATACTGTATTTATACATAGCAAGCTCAGTCAATAATGTTCGCTAGTGAAGCTTATTTATTGAAAAGAAAAACGCGAACAGGAGATATAAACTCATTTTGGCATCATCTTTACTTACGTAGTCAATTTGCGCTCTAAAGCCACCAAAAATCTTATTTTTAAAGAATACCCGAACTAAACAATAAGGTCGGTATTATTAGTATTTACTCTTGACTGTCATGTTCAAAGTTAGAACACCTAAAGTGCTTATTTATGAAGCTTACGTAGTGAAATGGTGAGTCTACTTTTACTGGCCTTAATTCATAGAAGCAACTCACAGAATGTGTTCCCGCGTTGAGGTCGATATTCAGATGACCCTTAACAACGTCGACTGGGACTGAACAATTGATGGTAATTTTGTCGTTTTGCAAGTAGATGCCGTCGAGATGATCCGGAGTGATTTTGACGATAGGTTCGGGTAATCCAAGCAAATCTAAAACGATTTAAAAATTGTTAGGTTTTACGTTCAAAAAGGACAGTTCGAACGGCACAAGCGATTTCGTCAGCAGCGTAAAAATCAACCCATTGTTACGTTCAAGGCTCAGAACCACCATGCTTGCTACTCTTGGGAGAGTTCTTGGTTCTCATCATTCTTCACATCACGATTGAGTAGATGGAGGTTTTGTGACTGCCACTGTCTTATACGATCAAAGGGAAGAGGAAAGAAAGATTCGTTCATGTGAGATCAGAAAAGGCACCAATGCCAGGCTTAAAGCTGATGCTCAGCTCTCATTTCCTGCGCCTTCACCTTGACAACCTTGAACCTGATGAAGGCTGATCTGCTAACAATGGAAGTGGAGGTCCGAAAATCGGGAGCTGACCATAAACATCAGCTCCAATACTATCATAAGTGCTCTTCTAAGTCGGCCTCTTACGAGCAATGCCTTTTTTAACCTCATTACTCTGAGCATCGTTGCGCCATAAGAAAATGGAGAACGTTAAGTGGAAGGCGCGAAGGATTGAAATACGCTGAACAGCGAAGCCATCCGATGGACGCATTAAGGTCAGTTCCTAGAAGCTTCCCTTCACTGACTAAGTCATGAAACATGGCATATTGGAATTACTTTCTCATTTCCAATTCCGTTCCACCTATTCAGGAAATTTCTTTGAAGGTGGTTACTCAAACACAAACCTTAAATCGAGGATAAAATTCGAGGGGATCGGGTTGTTACAAAACTGCTTTGCGCGTTGAGTTCGATTTCTGCTTAAAACAAGATTTTTGCCTCACCTGGTTGTGCAAGTACGGTGACTACGGAAGAGCTTCGACTCGTCTTTCCATTTTCGCTTGCCATGACGTAGAGGGAATAAAGAGCGTCCCGCTTCAGGTCGTTCATTACCACCCAGGTATCGTTCGTTTGCAGCTAAAAGCATTCATTGATAATTTTGGAGAGACTGTTTCTAAGAGAATGGACTGTCTGGAAATAATTCAGACGTTGTGAAGAGGGGTTGAATTCTTAAGAAATCTGAAATCATGGGAGAGACAAAGAACAAATACCTACGAATAATAACAGGACTTATAAAATGAGCAACAAATGAAATGAAAATTAAATATTCTGGTATTCATTCAGGCTATCAGTGACCCATTTCTAGCGTCCACTTGCCATCCGAGTTATAATCACTCCCTTTCTCCAACAAGTTCGGATAAGGCTGTTGAGGCTGCCGTTGCCACCGATAGTTACCACTAACAATTGCCTTAAGCTGACCAAAACCTTAGGAGGCCCGCGAATACGGCGTTTGAATCTAGGTTTTGTGCACAAATCGTGCTATATGGGTTCGTCACTGTCATCGATGTTGGTTGTCTTCTCATCATTCCGTGCTACCATCGAACTATCGTTATTATCGTCAAAAAAACAGGTTTCCATCGGTGATGGTATTTTTTAGAATAGAGTGGCCTAAACATCATGTGCTGATAAGTGACTCTGTGTAAGTCGCTCCAGACGCCTACTCATCTACATTCACGCAAACCGTATGCCTGTGACTTCTGATGGTGAGCTCGGCCTGCTGAAACCAATATCCTCTTGAGAAGTTGCGGATGACTTCTGTGGCGGAAAAGATTGTTACCATTTCCCTGGCTGTCTTTAATTCCCTGGACATATCCGGCCTACGGTTGTAGCGGAGATCCCATTTATAAGAGGTTTAACAATGATCCAATCTATCACTCCACCATTCGGCGTTTGATTTCATCCACCTACTTTTCGTGGGCAGAGTGAACATTATGGGTGCCACTTCGACTCTTTCTTTTGCCAATTCTTCCTTATCACTCAGTTTTCGACATTACTCATAGAAAACGCCGTACCTTGCAAATTTTGATCCAACTCTTGGCGAAATTCAGCCCGTTATGACACTCCATTTGAAAATTCCACATTGATTTGGGGTGCTCTGCTGCTTTTCACTTTTTGAACCTTTTCTTCTACAGTCATGATGATGAGATAAGGCAGTGGCTGCTTTCATAGTTCGTCGGCAGGCCGGGGGTGTCGCTTGCCTCTTGTTTACAACTAAATCTTGGTCCATACAGGCCGAGTGGTTCTCCGCCCGGCTCGTGCTGGCAGACTATAAAAGCAGCAGGTGATGAACTAGCTTGCGCACGAAACAAACTCGACTAAGCCACCATCTTTACCTTTCTCACAATCCCCTTAAATGTCTGCGCATTTTTTGAACGATATGACCTAACACTAACAGATTGATAGCCACCTTTTAAGGAATAGGTCTTCAAATTAGGACGATTTGGTCGCAATATTTACAGGGGCCAAAATGGAATAGTAGAGAAGTTGAAACTTGAAGTGAAACAGTCTAAAGTATTGTTTTCGGCTTGTTTGTTCTTTGTTTTCGGTGATACTGTACGGTTTTTCTTAATGTGGATCACTGAGATTATCGTCGAGTTTGAAAACGAATTGTCTCCTCACCGTCGTCCACTGTCCAGTTTTTTCTGCCTCCACATAGTAGAGGGTGTACGCCACAACACCAACGACCGGGCTATCATCCATTCTGGAGGTGACTGCGTTCCAAGAGATGTTAACTCGGTTACCGTAGTTCCACACAACGCTTACGCCATCGGGAGCTTTTGGACGATCACCATCCACTACTGGAAACAAAACAAAATTCGTCAAAATAACACAGGTGTGAAACGTATGCTTGTCCCACTTTTGGCAGGAAGTGTAGTGAACGTAGCATTGAATGAAGGAGGGCTGCTGCCATGACTATTCATCGACGTCACTCTTGCACGGTATTCGCTAGCAGGGGTGAGGTTCTCGAGACGGTGACTTTCCGTAGTGACATCAGATGAGCTCACTAAGCCATTGTTGGAAAACACCTCAACCATCCATTGTGAAAAACACGCTTACTATTCGATTACGCAGCTGAACGATTACGCAGCGGAATGCCCGCTAAGGCAGCACTAGTCTTACCCAGTGCAGACTTACCTCGACTTTGTACCCAGTTACACCATAATCTGGGTCCTCCCATGTGAGGAGAGCAGAGTTGGGAGTGATTTGTAACACCTTTAGACGTCGAACTGCTGCTGGTAGGCCAACATGAGGTGCTGAGAAGCAGGTGGAAAGCTTCGACAATGAGTGGAAACATGTGTCTGGGACCTAAAACTAATATCCAGTTATTTATATATGAATCTCTCTTCAATAAAATACATTAACGTGGGAAAAAGCTGACCTGGAACGGATGTCGGCAGCCAGTGAGACATTCTTTTGGAACCTCTTCTTTCTCGCAGCATCGTGAGTGGTCGCGACCTTCAGATGCACATTGTACCCATTTATTGAGGTCATCTGAAATTGGACAAATCTTGGGACGAGAGCTTTGCTGGGGCCACCTGAGTTCATAACATCACTGTTTTCCTGTGGGAGGCTCGCATTTAGCAGTCAAGGACATATTCAGAATTTGAGACAACTTCTTGAAAGGCGGTCAGGCAACGAGCCTACATGGGTAATGAGACTTCAACAAAAACTACCCCCAAGGAAAACGATGTTCTCTCCGGATGCGATGTCCGTATCAACAAGACCGCATCATATAAAGATTCTATTGTATTTTCACACTTTCTTCGCTGGTGGGCTTCAATCAGTACTACTATTCAAAAAACATTAGGCAGGCTCTTGCCTCCCTCGTTTTGTCGATTTTGGAAAACAGGAGAATAGGGCTAAGTAGCTTTTCCCACCTCGCTAGCGAGGTACTAGTTGGTGCTTTTAACCTTCCAAACATGACTGGTACCAATTAACCAACCCCGGAGGGTGGAAGACTTGGTTGGCCGAGGTAGGGGAATCCAACTCGTGACCATGCGCGTGTGATGTGCGCCACTTGCCACTACACCACCTCCGCCCGCGAAGAATGCCAGTGGTTGGTATCATATTTATCATTCACTGTCAGCAGCCTTTGGTCAGCTACAGTAACAATTGCTCTGATAGGAAGTTTCGCTGCCTATATCGATCCTGTAAGGGATACAATCAAATCTTGGGTGGGTGTTTGTTGTTGATGTAAACGACAGTAATAAGAGGCTACATGTTTACAGACGCGCCGTGACCATCATCAAATATCAGACGCACACCCTCCCCTTTTTTTGAGAAAGTTGCTAGTGTCTGCCTGATTCGTGTGCTCTCTTTTGAGATATTTGGTGCTATCAAGGTTTCGGAATCCATGCATCATTCCAATGAATAGGCCTCTTTTATGAGCCAATTTCGACAAATTCAGAGCTAAACTAGCGATATCATAGGAGAATTGCTCAGGGGAAACAGTACGAATAATGTAGTAAGCGCTGAATGGGTGCTGGCAGTAGATCCTATCGCCTGCTATTTGTAGATTACTCTTCCATTTTCTATGAGGGATCAATTTCCATTTCACAAGGTCAGTGACCACTAGTGACCAGTTCAGCACGACGATTGTCAAATTATCGAGACCCTTACGTTGGCAGCTCTCAGGAAGAGTTACATTGAAGTGACACGACGATTGGCATTCTGGCGTCACATTCTGGTGGCGGCAGCAATCCTGGAAGTCATCGTCAGAGTTGCCGTCCTCTGCAAAAGTTGCGCTGTAGTGGGTGCACCGTCATTGCTAAACAACAACACTGCAATCACTCATGCTCATTACCTTTCTGGCAGCAGTAGGCCTCATCTTCGACGTCTGTGCATCGGAAGCCAAGTGGGCATGGATGGCTAGAGCTGCATAGGAAGGGTCGTCCCTCTGGAAATGAACGAGCAATGAGAATTCGACCTTCCTGAGACACCTAGTAGGACTCGTAGTTCGATGTCCCATTGTTCATTTATAAATGTTGTATTAATCAATAAATAAACAATCACATTTTTCTGTAGTACGTAGGGTAAACAGCTCATAAACATCACCTAGCTCTTAAAAAATTAAAAAGGCATGTTAGCTGTTAAATGATAAGAGAAAAGAGAAAAAAGAGAAGGAGAAGGAACCTGAAATCAGCAACGGTTCTCCAATAGCACAAACTCCGCGACTGTCCGATTTTGTATAGAACAAAACAGCAGTAGAAGGTAATGAGGTGCCATGTTGGGAATTCGATCTCACCGACACCGAATATTCACTGTCGGGATCCAAACTGATTTCTGTATGCGGTGAGACAGCATTGTGAACCTGCAACAATTTTTATACCTACAGAACTTTGACCCCCTCCTATCCGCCCTATCCCCCCCCCCCCTCCTCTTTCCAACCGGATTGACGAACCTCTCTGACTCGAGCACCGTGTTCCACCTTTCGGATGAGCAAAGTGTATGTTTCAACGAGATGGGCATTGGAATCTGGCTCGGCCCATGTGATTTCAGCTGAGGATTCGCTTACGGATGTTACCGTGACATTGACAGGAGGAGATGGATGTGATTCTACAAGATAACAGTCATGCACAAAAAACTCAACCGAAAGAAGTAGAAAACTTATTACAACGCGTACCGTATCCCTCTCGAAGGCACTGATAGATAGCCTGAAGGTCGAGATTGAGACATAGCACAGAGTGGACGCCGAGAGATTCAGTTGAGCCGGCACAAATCGGCAAGCAATCGTTCTGAACGCCTTTCCTGCGGCAGCACTCGGTATGATTGCGGCCGTCTGCCAAACAGGGAGATACCTGCAGAAAATGTGGATCGTGGACCTCGTGGTGAAAAGCTTGGGCCAAGGCTTGGGGCACGCTCATGCTCGTGAGTGAGTTTTTAATATTGGATGTCTATATCTGTTACGAATACCTTTGGCCATTCGACTCGACAAGTGGTGGCGATGGAAACGGTAGCGAAAGCGTTCGGTGATGTCTCCACAGTACACATCTTCGCACTGCAGAACTCTGATACTTTGTTTTCCTTGCAGCATTCTGTAAACAGCGACTATCACTTTTACCTCTATTAGTTGTTGAGGTGCAGAAGTATGTATGTTCGGAGTAGAAGGGCCAATTGTAACACTAAGAAGAAGCGTTCATGGAAGGTAAGTTGACGAAAACAGTATTCCAGAAACTCAAGCGAAAAAATCTAAAACCTCGGAGTCTTAGACTTCTCTCTTGATGAAACTTGACGTGAACCTGGTCATAAGGTGGAGTTCCTCATTATCGGCCTGTCATTCGGACTAGATTCTTTTTCATTGAGGATCTCACTAGCAAAAAGGGATACGAGCAAATCAAAGCACACTCTTCCCCTATAGAAAGTTCGACGAGCATTATGTCGACATTTTTCTTAAGTGGGGCTTATAGTTGAGAGCCGTAGACCCTTTTCCGCATTGGGTTTCGAAGAAGTTTGCTGCTAGCAGAATATTAAATAGCTCTCAGGCTTATAACCGGCCCAATCGATGAAAGCGCTTTGTAGCCCTATAAAGACATTAGATAAGGACAGGCTCCCTAGATTTGGGCGATTATAGTTGGTGCCGATACTCATACCACTGCAAAACAGAAGCATTAGTCCCCAGGTGTAGCAAGGTAACAAGAATCGACATAAACGTTGAAACACGGAAAGCAAACTATTCCCTTGCAGAAAAACTATTGCTCAGCTCAACGCTACTTCGTAATAATGTTGACTGAGTTCTCAATGCCAAAGTGATTGCGATTTCGTGAAACGTAACAATGCAAATCCCATGTCAGGTTTTTCCTCTGTACTGATTTAAGGCAGGGCCTGCTATGGACTCAAATGTTGAAGCAAGCTTTTTGGAATTGGACGCTCGAAATTTTCCAACGATCTGGTCTGGTCTGGTCGGAATACAGGCCAACCAGGAACGGAATTTTTAGAAAAATGAAACCTTTTCATGTCTTCGGCTTCTCACCCCTATTTTAATATTACCATCTGCAGGTTTCCATGCGAAAAAAGAAACTACTCATCCAGAATGGATCCGCTGCTCTCTAGAATTCCGCTGTTGCCGCTAGACTGTTTCTCCTTTACACTTTTTTGGGGTTCTGGACAGGAAAATGGATTACTAGATGAGAATCTTTCTCGAAAACAAACAAGAGTTCCGCAGAACGTTCAGTTTGGAATAAAAACCGTTGACCAAAGTATTAGAGCAGGTGAAGGAACAGGTGAAGGAGTAGTTCTGATTTTGCTTGAGCATAACTTTAAACAGTAGAAGACTCACTCATTACATCAGGAATACTGTCGTTGTTCTTCACCATGTGTACATTCGTACTGGCAATCGAACGTACACTCGGGACACTGGTACCGTACTCGTTCCGGGAAGTCACATAGACGATGTATCGAGTTGAAGAACGAAGATCAGTGATGGTTTGGCAAGTGCCAGTTGTATTGATCTGGAATTAAGACCGACTTAATTTCTGGTCAAGTTCGAGCCAAAACTACCACAATCAATCGACAAATTTTCCGGTTCATCCTGGTTATGCAGGCGTAAACGTAGCCTCGATATGTGGCCGACTTGGCCAATACCAAGTCATCGACGGGCGACGTGTAGTGGGAACAGCTACGAGAAAGAATTGACGGTATGGAAAAAGTCACTTACGCTTTGGAAATTGAATTCGCGAATAGTGGTTGAGTTCGTCGCTTCGTCCCTTGTCATTACAACCACCGTGTCACGCTTTCGCCTAAGCCTCAGGCTCAACGATTTCTGAAAAAAGTTCAGCATTAAAACCCCGAAGTCACTGGATTCGGATGCAAAAGTTTTCTTGGAAAGGTCAGGTCAAATGTAACTATTCCACTGGGGTAAGAGCCACTATTGCGTTCGCTGCTCGAATTTAGCAGCTTAACCCTTCTTCAGAGTCAATACTAGTAACATGGATTCACTTCGAACTCCAGTCAAGGTCTACCGTTGTGAGTAGGTCGTCCCCGGAAATTTCTATGACCGAAAAGCTCCTGAATCAAGTGACGCAGTTATCCTCAACTAACTGTGAGTCTGCGCTGGGGAAACAGGAAGACAACTTCCGGCGTAATGTGGATGTCTTTTCCTAGTCTTATATTAACGAGACGGTTTTTCGACGTTGTTTGATCCTTGTTTTTTGATGCTCCCCTCATTCGAATTCCATTCAGAGTTGGAATGCGGTTTGAAAGTGTATGTGGCCAATACAATGACTTGCGGAGTTAACCAATGTACTTCAGTGCTTTTGTCCTCCGAGGCGAGTACCCATGAACTGACAATGGAGATAAAGGTTCGGTCCATTCGATCCCGGCTCGACCCTCACCTACACCGTGTGCTGTAGAAGTGCCCCACAATGCATTTCAACACGTGAGTGAAGTCAATCGTTCTCGGCTCCTAGCTATGACAATTGTTAAGTCCACTTAAAATGATAAATTCCTGTTATCCGAGAAAGGGTGATTCCCAACATTCACCTTTTTTTCCACATAGTTGCTTGATGGAAAGGAAAAGGTTCTGGAGTGAGTTCTGGCTATAGTCTCTCAGTAGACCTCCAGAAAAAAGCCAGATGGCGGGTATCTTATAAAATCTTTCCCCTAAAAATGACACATTTGTAGTACTACTACACAAGACTCTATTCCGTCGTGCGAAAAAAAAACTCCCAAGGTCTACAGCCTGACATGCTATACCAGCACTTGGATAAGATGGCTTTTGCTTAATATGTCCCAAAAGTTAGGAGATCTGTGAGTTGAACGGTATATTTCGATTGGATACTGAGAGGATATTTAATTGAACTTGTGCATATCTTCAGCACGACGGACCTTCGCCAGGCATCAGCTTGACGTTACCACAACAACAAAAAATGAAGTTCCCGGAAACAGAGTATACACAATCGTAGAGGCCTTGAATCAATCAAATACATAAAGCGGAGCTCTAGTTTTGAATAAAGTAGGTAAGGGAATGGGATGGAGACAGCTTGAGATGCACCAGGACATCGCTGGAGTTACCCCGCGCTGGAATACTATCTGAGGTAGGAAAGCGATGATAAGTGCCGAAGTGATCACCATTTCAGCCAAAATGTGGCAAAGAAGACGACACCGTGACATAATCAAATCCACAGCAGAGTCCAAATGTGGCACATGACTAACTCCACACTGCTAGTTAAGAAAAAAAAACGGTTACAACGAGACAGGGCATTGTGGCTCATTCTTTCATGTACGCCCTACTAAGTGATGACAGCCAGAAAACGGAGTAGCGCGACGGACGTACATTAGGTGTAACAGTTCCCTGAGTCACGAGGAAATTTAAGCTACCTTCAGGGTTTGGATTTAGCCTCCTGGAATGCTTCAAACCAAAAATGGGGTAGCACACTAATCAGCTTCATGATGACGTAAAACAAGGCTTGAAGAAATTCAGCTCAAAGCTCAAGTTCGTCGAAAAAAAGAAAAAATTAATCAATCAAAATTCTCACGGGAATGCCTGCCATGTCTGCTGGTGGTTGAAGATCAAGTTCACCCTGAAACACAAATTGCCGTATGGATTGCTATGAATATACTTCGAGGAACTCTCGAACAATGGTCGCACCCTATCATCCCGTCGAGCTCGATCTGCTGGTTTTTCGGTGGTAGCATCGGAGCCCGTATAGTCTACGTCGTCGTCGATATCCCCAAACTCCGAATAGTCGCCGTTCAATAGTGGGACACCACTGCAACTTGCTTAAAATCAGGTGGTGATTGGAAGTAGTATAAACTGTGTAGACAACTCACATATCACCTCCCATAAGGGGGAAGTTTGGAATTTCCTTGTAATAGACGGTGTAGTCAATGACGGGGAAGTTCTTGTTGGAGTCGTGCACGGGCGGTGGTCGCCAACAGACACTCAGCTTGTCATGCTCAACTGCATTCACTAGCACTTGCTCGGGAGGATCGGGATACGGCACTGAAATATGGTAACGTTATTCGCCGGTTCCTTTCAAAGAAGAGTTTTTCTTCACATTGAACACATCGAATGCTCATGGAACTCCTGAAGACACAGGGAAACCGAGGAAAGCAAGGAGTTTTCTCGTAGGTAAGGATTTCCTGATCTGGCTCGCGATAAAAAGATGATCCCACAACCTTCAGCAGTGCCACTGGAAGCGGCTTTTCCCAGGGCCTGATTGACGTCGACAGTCAGAGTTCAGTCATGCAGAAAATTTATCCCAGATGCGTTGAGAAGCAGTGTGCCAGCTAGGACTTCTTAAGCATTTATTAGCATTAGACGGCAAACCAAGTTTAATCGGCAAGGTGCAGAAAAGGCCATGGTAAAACATCGAAACAAACAGCGACGCGGAAAGGCGGATACGAGGTGACCCGAATGAACATGGTTGCAATAATGAGGATCGCGATAGAGGCAGCAATTTTGAGGCAGGTTATCTCTAGGCAGTTTCCATGGAACGGGTACACATGCGAGTAAACACACCACTTACATCATGCACAACACACTAGCGAACTACTGACATTTCCTAGCGGTACTTGACGCATAGCTACTGCTTAGATGATACCGCTGTGACGCTCGGGATTGTGCTCTTTTGTACTACCCGATGGTGCAGTCGAAGGAACCCTTTCACTACTTTGAAGGGGGAGGTCTGAAGGTGGTTTGATCAACATACGGTAGGCTCGATTGTAGCACTCGAAGATCTCCGGGAGATAGTAGAGGCAGAGGCGGTGGGATCGACGCAGCATCTGAAATATTTCGGGTTATTCCCAACTGTTAAGAAGCTTTCGGTCTTGGTNGGTCTCAACCGCCACAGAATTTACCTTGAAGTCTCCTGAGCAGAAGTCGTAACAGAACGATGGCACAAGTTGCGTCTTGCAGCAGTGCACATGGCTGCGAGTGCCGTTGTCAGTCGCACAGGACAGAAAGTTCTTGTAGTCATCCGTTTTACAGCTGAATTACAAGCCCGCTAATAATGACTGACGGTTAAGGAAACTTGCGCTTACTCTACACTGACCTACCTGGTAGGATCAAAGTGGTACTGAGCCATTTCGCTCGGTTTGCACATTGCTCGGCATAGTGTTGATATCCCTTTTTCGTGACAGCACTCAGAATGATCGTAGGAAATGTTCTCATGAAACCCGCCTTTCAGTCCGGATTCTTAATGAAATCGATTGGTTTATCAGCAGGAAAAGAAGTCAGTGGTTAACCTACCGAGCACTTCTACTTGGAACTCGAGTTGTTCAGACTGATTAGCAATTTGACATTTGTAGCGACCGGAGTCCTCGAAGGTAAGATTCCTCAGTATGAGGGTATACTCTTCCTTGGTGCAGCTACAGCACTGATTGTCTACGCAAGACGTGCCGACAGGACATGGCTTCGTATCGTCGCAGGTCTCCGAACATCCTGAAAGTAACAAGCAGTTGAGCCCGTTCTGACATTGGGCAGCTGGAGGTAAACTCATTCCAATAGGTAGAAACCAAACTGACCCTACCGTGCTTGATGTTACAAGCATTTCTCGGTACTCCTGTACCATAAGAGATATGGTTGGTTGCCAATTCCCCCATTTTAAAAGGGATTTGAAAATCCCTCTTAAACCCAAAAAAATTACAGAGGAATTGCTCACTCTTCCACGTTTGAAAAGGTGCACTTCGTCTCCCGTTGAAATTCCATTTGTTGGACTCAACATCACTAGCGTATCCCCAACTCATAGAGCACTCCTTCATCTCAATCATCGTTTACAAACCTCAATTGTTCGAAACCTTTCAAGCGGAATTTCACTGCACGTAAGTGAATCCAGGTATGAAGTACGACCTAGTTCCTCCCAAGCGCGAGCCAGTCTATTCGGAGGGCCTCCCACTCTGATAAGTCAGACGAAAGGGATAGCTGAATTTTTAGTAGGCAGTTTTCAATGCGGCTTTCGCATGACATGATTAAGTGCGCCTAATGACCATAGGAGAGATGGAAGCCGTTTTGGAGCTCAGAAACCCTCGACCCTTGGGTTTATCCCTTTTCGTGATCAGTGAGAAAGAGGTTTCTTATGAAAAAAGAATCATCAGCCAGATTCCCAATATTTCAAGTTCCTTGGGATTGGGTGCCTCACTTTCTCAAAAATCGATGCAGATTTGCGCCAGTAAACGACCCACGGGAGCAATTGGAAAGGAACAGTCATCCCAGCAGTAAACAACCATTCGTTTTAGTGGCGACAGNTGACCATGCGCTCAATACAGGAAAGGCATTAGCAGACCTTTTAAGCTGTAACTCAAACAGCTTTTGCACTTTCTAGAAACAGCCTTTTCGAATGTGCCCTCAGCGGTACTCCAAAACGCAAAGCTTGTCACCTCTCTCTAGAAAGCAAATTGTAGCGTTCCCTTCATATTTTATACTGGGATGACCCAAAGGGCACGGATTCCTTACGATCAGTTAAAACGGTTGAAAGAGGCGGATCGTGAAGTAACTGAAACCAGCCGGCTTGTCTAGATGTTCAGATTCTCTACCAACCCTCGGGAGGTGCTTTACAACAAAGTAGACATCCCATTCATTTCAGCCATGCTCCCAGAACATGTTACCAGCCAACATTACAATAAGAGGTGTTTAGCTTTTTTGGGGTGCATCGATGTGAATGGGTTTGGGAGGTGAAGTGAGCTCTTCGGGCACGTACAGACATTTGTTGTCAACGTACGAGTCGCCATAATAAGGAGTAAAACCTAACCGTGATCATCAGAAACATCATCAGAAAGCCGTTTCAAAGAATTCTTCACCGCAAATTATGCCGAAAAGGACCGTGGTTCCTTCTAGTTGTACACTGATCGCGTTGCTCGCTTTTGTTTATCCGACACGCTTGATTTTGTTTACTTGGCTCAAAGAGAGCAGGAAGTCGCCAATTTACCTCGTAGCACACATACGCTGTCTTGCAGAAATTGTCCAGGTTTTCCCTTCACAGTGAATATTCCCGATCCTTCGAAGTTCTCGCAATCAAGCGGAAGCGACCATGTTGGCCAACTGATCAGCTGCAAACTAGGACCTGCTGGGTTCTTACAATGAAACCTAGATAAAGGGGAAGGGAATGAGTCCTATGGTATTTCCCACTTGGTGGGACTACGATTCACATAATCAGCAAATATTCTTGTGTTGGTTCCCATGTTGATGGTTCCCACTGCCTTTTCTAAAATCTCATCAACAGTGTCACTTCAAGAGCGCAAAGTCCACGACTACCTCCATTACGTGACTTTGTTTTCAGTGCGCAACCATTACTTCACAGTAAGTTAATGTAAACACCTTGATGTTATCAAATATAGAAGTAAAAGGCCATCTTTGAGCAGAAAACAAATCGGAGGGGCCTGTAGTCACCTTTTTCGTAATCAACATCAACTATGTGTTGCAATTTGTACGATTTCTCGTCCAATGCGGCTGACTGAGCGAATTTTGTGCCGTTGAAGATGAGGATGTCGTCTTTCAACCAAATCACCTGAAAGCGGTTACATTAGCAGTCATGAAAGCCAGTGACGCACAGCGAAGCATTCCGAGACCCATCTGACTTTGCCGTTGCGATTTTGATGGAAAACGCATTAGCCACACAACGTATCGACCTACATTTGGGGAGCACGTGTTAACAACGCAGTTGAGTTGGGCAGCGAATCCTTGAATGACTGTGAGATATCCCTCGTCATCGGTAGTTAGATGCAGCTCACTTGGCGTCGAAACGACGAGGATCACAAGAGTAAGGAGGCCAGCAAGCTGGCGCATTGCCACCTGCAACGAAAATCGTTACTTTCAACGGAATTCTTTGGAGCAATCCAAGAAATGAGATCAAGGAAAGACATAGCAACAACAGGCGTTACGGTGTGAAGACGACGCTACAATGGATATCCAGAATGGAGTCATTCAGAATGGCTATTGATGGATGGGTGGGAATCCAGCGACAGTGGCTATGCGCAGTGCTATGTTGGTTGGCGTCGGAGGGGCGAAGCGAACTGCGGTAACGGTATTGCGTGGTGCAAGGTCGAGTGGCCTCGATCGATGTTCCACCCGAAACAAGTTCCCCCTATTCGACAAAATCGTCATGGATTCTTGTCGACATCGACATCTCATCAGATCGACGTCAATCTTTTTCAGCTAATCCGATTGTCACTTCTTCGCCTACAGTAATTTATGAATTAACTCGAAGGAATTACATGTCCAGAAACTAGACGGTCCAGACGTTCTAAATATTCAAAATGTATGGAGGAGCCCGGAAAGACAACCGAAGAGCAAAAAATTCTCGGGAATTTCCAATCCGACTCCGAAGTCAAACTATAAGAGGGTTAGCGTCTCTTTACAAAAGGCAGTTCAAGGACAGACTGGGTTGGCTGGGTCGACTCAAGGTGATTTCTTTTACGAATTTAGAGAATGTTTGTTGGGCAGCCCGGCAGCAATTAGCACTAACGCAGAGGGCACTGGAAACCGCGCTATCCAATTCATCTATCCCAAAATCTATGTATCCTATCCATCCATCTGTGAATAGTCATTCGTTTGAAAGGGAAGTATAACATCCTGTCTGGCAACTGGTTATTTCCGAAATGAGGGCAACAACCATATAAGTGTATTTTTTGAAGGAAAAAAAAAGTCCAGAAAGTGCACGAATCTGATGTGAAAAGATAGTGGGGATACGGTATTCACAAATGAATATCAGTAATGTTGAAAAAATGAAATATGGTGGTACTGAGACATTAAAATACAGCAGTTCGGTTCAACGTAACAAAATGGCCTTGAAAATGACCAGGTCAGGCCAGAAAAAGGCTGGCTTCATGAGGGTTTAACGACGTCACCCGAAAACTATCGCAACGCAGGCGGTCACCGCGCATCGTTGAGCTTGGTTGTGGGTCAGGTCGTCGGCTAAAATTTGGCAACACCTTCAAACATAAAAATAGAAGTGAAACACGAAGTAGACGTGATGTCTGTATCAACAGTGCTAGGCTCCTCAGATAAATCTTGTCAAATGGCCTCAGGCGATACTTAATTAGTGAGGTTTCTCAAGAGGTCATCAAGAAAGGCCGAAAACGTTCATAAGTCATTCTGCTTGATTGATTTATTGCAAAAATACAAGTCCTAAATCAATAACTAGAAATCGATTTGGAAGTAAGTGATAGAATAGGGACTTGGAGGAGTGTCGGATTGAAGATGAGTTGTAGACGAAGACTACGAGACAATTGCATAGCGGATACAGATTGTTCCCTTGGGAGCTAACTATAGGGAGAGAGGGCAGGAAAGGTCAGGAAGAACCTTCATTCCTGACTCGATATCTGATTCACTAATGAGGTGATAATGCTTTCAGGCAATTTATACGGCCCTGAAATCCAGGGTGGTGTCATGAGGTCGAGATATGAATGTTTCCGACCCCAAACGGGATTCTTTTCAGTGCAGCGCTCAGCGGCGGATTTTTTTTTTCGTGAATGGCAAGGTTCCGGATGACCATATCGGTAAACTGACTTTTCTCCTCACTTAAACGCACAGCTGACATTAATTTCGAGGTACGTTTTTAGTTATAAAAATGGAGGGGTTGATGTATTTTTAAAAACGGAGGAAGTGGGGGTTGCTCGAGATCACCGTGACAGTAATGGCATGTAAAGGGTATTTGGACGAGATTTAACTTGCTCCCATTGCTCAAAGAGGTGACTACATCAAGCCGAAATTGACCGAAACTGCCTTCCACTATCGCCATGGCTTATGGCTAGTTGTTTGAACTTCCTACAAGGGAGTCTCTGGGGATAGTGCAGCCTCTACAAAGCCGTTGAAACTCGTGTCTACGATGGGTGTGGCATTCACACAATACAATCTCTGGCCCCTTATTGTGCCCTGTCCATCACGTTTTTCGACCTTATAGCGGCAGGTATGGTATAAGAGGGAGCCTCGAATTCATACTATAGGGGAATCTTTAGAGCCATTTTTATCGTGAACCGTGCCTTTAAATAGATCTCCCCCCCCCCTCCTCCTCGAATTCATGGAAACGTGGAGCTTTTCTGCATGAACTTTGGACGACGCTTTGATTTTTTTGTTTTGCATGAAAAGGCACAGTGACCCACATTGAGGTAGTAATTTTCTCCGCTCGTTGCTCCAGTTCGAATTGTACAGGTGAAGATTTCTTTGAAGTCGATGAGCAGGCTTTTATACTCCCATACGATTCTGGTATCAATAGGCTATCAGCGATTGGATGGGATGGTTACTTGGCTTGAACCGGTACCGGTTCTGAACTTGCCGGATCATAGCTGGGCCAACTGTCACTTTTTCATTTTCGAACTTTTCCCAATGAATGACATCGTTCAATCAGCAACTAAGAAAACTATCGACCTACTGGAAGAATGGGCTGGAAAAAACAAGGGGGTGCCCTTGTAGAAGCAACTTTTTTTCACATGAGGAGTGCATGTTTGAAAAGGTTACGGAATGTTATGACAAGTCTGAAGAACAACTACTGCATTCATGAAAAACTGGAACCGGTTCCTTATCGTTCAGTTAAAACAGTACTCTATATTGCTTGGAAGACTGTTCAGCTTCGAAAAAGCAGGAAGGTATAAACAAAGTTCAGTTGCCTTCTTCAAGAAATCGAGAAGTCGCATCATCCACGGCATAATAAAAGTTACAAGGAGTAGGGCAATGTCATAAAAAGGCCCAAAGTTTTTCGAAATACTGTTAAGGAGGATCTTAAATTCATAAAGAATAAAGTCTCTTGGCTTCATTCAGCCAGCCCCGTTTTTGGGCTGCGCACCCTCGTTCGACTTCCCTTGAAATTGTAGTGGCTATGGAGTGCCTCATGCACTGAATTCCGGTGGCCAGGCAATACGCAGATCACTGCTTTTATTCGCCAAAATTAGTCTGATACCAATTAACCAACCCTGGTGGAATGTAGACAAATACAGCAATCTACCAAGAAGCGTAGCCTCAAAATTGGCAGCCTCTTTGGAAGGACGTGATGGGTTACTGCCAACACAAGTATCAGAGAGCTATTACATATGAGTAACATTAACGGTATATGTTTGGAGAGGGACCCAAAGTTCACGCGATATCATTTTATTCGGATAAAGTTAAAAAATCACATCTAAATCGGTTACCCATGTAGTGTTGAGAAAGGAGTAGACCTTTGATGAGATTTGGGTCCAGAAATAGGTCTTCTTCTTTCCCAGATATTGGCCACAAAAAGTCGTGGCTTGCAGTGGTTTTAGCTGTTCACTCTTGCTGATCTGTGTTCATACTTGAGCATTTCGGGCTTCTTGGAAGAGGACTTGTTGCTGTTGTGGACCGATCGTGAGCGGAACAGAATGTTCCTGTTGCCCAGGATCCCCGATCGGTTATTTTCCCCTGCCTTCCCCAATACTTCAAAGATTCACTGCTCCACTGCTTTGCTCCCATTTTGAGTAGTGTTTTCGGCTTTGGTTTGGAACTCAGTTTAATCGCTTTTCTACTGAGCTTCTTATGCTTCCCCGAACATCCTGCTGTAATACGTAAGGAGTGAACCCCGAGTGAGCTCGAAGCATTCAAAACACCATGACAAAACTGGTTGTAGAAACATAGCAATATTAGAAAACTACCGAATTTGCAGTTCAAACAAGTTTATTGTTACGGTAGTTAACAGTGAAGAAGAATGGTGCCACTGAGCACCGTCACCGTTCGCCAGGCCAACCAAGTCTTCCCTACGCCCAGAGTCGCCCATCGTGGGGACAACACTGTGTCGTATGAATGCAGTTCTATCTAGATACTCCGTGACAACACGCATAGAAAGATATTCTCATGAAATTCCTCAGTGAAAAATGTCTCGAATGGAGGTCAGCTGCCTTAGTCCGGTTGGCAACTGGTTTTACTGACACGACCCCAGGGAGAAGAGGCTCTGTTATTTGTGGCGGACCTTCCCAGAGAGAAATCCGCCTTGAATAACAGAGCTTTACATGGTGGTTTGGGTTGCAATTAGATCAACGGGACGCCTAGAATTGTGCTTTATTCCGAAGAGGATGCGTGATCTGGCGACCATGTTGCGTGAGGTGTCCCATCAGCCCAAGCCAGCAAATAGCTCCTATCCTTACACGATGAAAAATGTTTGGGGTCATTAATGCCGGTAATGCCCTTTTTGAGATGGCTGTAATTTGGAGAAGGCCATGGTGGAAGCATGGCACCACGTCAACGAAAAGGCCATCCAAAACCTCTAGGAGGCATGGAAGACAAGATTTTCCCATAGCATCCGGAGAAAAGTAGTGCAGTGGAATATCGCAAAGAAAAAGTGTGCTCCGATTGCTGGATAAGTTTTTTTTTCCTTCAAACGAGACCATAATCTTGCGACATCGAATAATAAGTGAGTGGTATTTGGCACGAAAATAAAAAAGTAAAAAATTCTGATGATTTCAACTTCGATGTCGGTGCTCATGTGGCGCAAACCTTGAGGCGCAGATGTCGTAAGCTAATAGCAACAACGTAAGTGAACTTGTTTTCCTTGGGTGATCCTGATTTTGATCTGTCCCTGCTCCTATCACCCACTTTTAGCTATATGTCAAGGGTACCATGTATGTAGCAGAGTGGCCAGAAAACAACAATTTTCTTTGATTCTTTATTGACCTTTATCTGTTTTTGTCATTCTCTGAGATCTGTTATCTACCATCCTGTCCTATTCTACACCACACATTGATGTAGCCCCATTTTATACGAAAAGAGGAAGTTATCAAAAGGCAATTACCAGCACTTATGAAATGTTAGGTTCAAAGTGTTAACACCAAGGGCGTAAGCAG